AGTAATATTTTGTTATCAACCAAACAATCCTTCAGAAAAACTTACCAATAATCCCAGTAATATTTTGTCCTACCAAACATCTTTTTTGTAACATTCCCAGATAATTTTTGTTCCAATCATATTCCAGGTAATTGTGATTCCAGGATACTAAAAAATTTCTCCAGTACCAAACGCCCCCTAAGAGAGCGTAGATGAATTTTTTTTTTTATCCGAGAATAATAATTTTCTGAAATATAGTTGAAAAACAACTTTTTTGAAAATATTAGCAAAAAAGTGTTTGGTAGGTGAAAATATTGGTGGAAATATTTATTGAATTTTCATATTACTATGTTTGGTTGATAGTAAAATTTTGGTAGAATTTTGAATAGAATTTACAAATGTAACTTCATTTTTAAATATTAATATGCAAAGCAAGTACAAGTCACAGAGTTATTTTCATTTTTGAATTCAGAGTTAATTTTTGGTTGTCTTGGAAAACACACAATCCCATATAATATGTGGAATTTTTTTGTGGGGATCTTGAAAAAATTTAAGTTACTTTTGAAATCCTAACATTTCAACTTCCCCGTGATTACGTCACATTTTTAATTTACCAAACGTTGCATTTTAGTTTACTGAACCTAAAAATTCAAGGAAATCACAAAAAATCCGCCTACCAAACGAGTCATAAGAGTGTGCGATGGGCTGGTTTGGTTGTTTGAACTTTATTAATAAATAATAAGTGAATTTGAAGTTAATCTAAATTGTAAGTTGTTTTCTCGATCCTATATTATAATTGTCTCCTACGAAATTATGAAATTTGTTGATTAAAACTTAGGATCATGATATGAGATGAAAAACATCCACATCAATACATGAGAAGATTAAAATTGTATACCGTATTGGATAGGATAATAATAATATTGTAGATGAATGATTGTTGGATGAGATGGTCCCCACCAAGCTTACAATACAACTCCACTGTCTTTTTTTTTTTTTTTTTTTTTTATAACTAACTGCACTGTCTCTTTGATTTCCTATGAGGGCGACATCTATCTCATCAGAACTTCAACCAATGAAAGGTCGCCACGTCTAAACAAGAGCGTTGAGTTCACGTGTGGTTGTGGCTCGTGGGGCCTACATTACAAATTCAAAAATATAAGCTGGGGACCACGTCAGCAGCTGGCTATAGAGCCGAGCCGATAAGCCAACAGCTCAAGCAAGTTCTATATTGTTGGGCATACTGTCGCATACGCATACATAAAGCCCAAAATAACGAGGCGAATTGTATAAGGCTATAAGCACAGTGCAGGGACTAAGGAATAAGGAGGCTTCTCCATTCACACTTAAAACTCCATTTTTCATTTTTTAATTATTTAATAAGTTATCACGAATCACGTTTGAAATTAAATTGTTTCCAAATTATAGTAATCTAAAAACAAAAAACTATTTCTGCAGGCATAAATAGCAGAAATAGTTTTCTGTCACATATAGTGCATTTTCGAGAATGTACAGGTAAATTATATTTATTTTTTAAATTAGCGGATCCTACTTTTTTTTTTTTAAGGAATATCTATGTGGCAGATAAGTTTTATCTGTCGCTGCGGCAAAAAATTAAAACCCATCTAAAAATAGTGTTGAAAAAAATATTAGAATTGATTTTCATACGTTGTGCTGTTATTGCTGACTTATTATAGAAAAGAAGGGTGAACTTAATATGGAAAAAATATTTATGTTTTTCAGAAAAAAATTATTTGTCACATTCACATGAAGTGAGTGAGTTCCATTATATAAAAAAGAGAAAAAAATATTAGTAAGATCCATTAACTTTTATGTGAGTATACGTTACAAATAAGTTTTTTCTGTAATAAAAGTAGAAACATTAAACCCATTTAATATTGGGTTTTGCATTTGTCATGTTACATGACAAAAGTTAAATTTTCTACACATACATCGATATTTGTGTTATATTTTCTTTTTTTTTCTTTTTTTTTTTAAAAATGGCGGACCCTACACTAATTGTCTTTGTAGCATACAAGAGGATTGTTCTACAACATGATATTTGTTTTTCCCTTTAATATTAAGGAAATGTGTTTCTCACGTTGCATAGATAATTTTATCTCATGCAACACAAAAAAATGAATAAAATCCACTAAAAATAGAGAGAAAAAATAAATTCCATCGATTTTTTGTACTTGCATGAGATTACAACACAAGAAATATATTTACTGAAAGATAAAGCCAACATATTTTAATAGACTCGTGAATTTGTCCAACCTAATATGACCCAACCTTAGATCATGAAATATTTTTACTTTCTTTATAGTATTAATTTTTACCCAGACATTGATTTGACACTAACCACAAAGTGCTTTAGTAAATTTTGAATTCCTTACTGCATGTAAAATCTATTCACAAGCAACTTAATTAGTTTGCCAAATCAGTTACCCGTCATGATCTATGCTAGGTTTATCTAAATTTTGATTTAACTCATTCAAATATTTCATTACATACCATTTTGATATGACTTAGTGGTGAGAACACTGAACAAACAATAATTTTCCCAGTTCATTTTATATGTACAAAAAATATTTATATGCTTCCAATTGGATGGTGAAGAAAAACGTAAGAGTTGAGGACATAAGAGATGTTGAGAGAATGCTATGGGAACCCATCCACTGAGCTGTCATGATGGGGTGCATGTGAGCATTTAGCTATATGCTTAATCAGAACTCAGACCCCTCTCTGTCCCCGTGGGAGCAATGCAACAACTCCTAATAAAGTTCTAAGATAAACTAAAATCTGATGAGACAAAATTGTATAGGCAACTTGTTTTCTCTTTTCCCAGCCTCCCAACACGTTTCATGTTCCAAACTTAATGCCTAGAAGAAACAATCCTTTGAAAATTAGATTTTTTTTTCCTAATAATATTTCAAGTGTTGCATATATAGCACACTTTTATTAAATATAATTTTTACACAAACTTTTAGTAGTTGCTATAGATGTATACTTATATCCCATGACTCACGTTGTTAAAAAATTTGAGCCTTAGATATAAGTGGGATCAACGGTTAAGATTGAGAGTGTAACTTACACCGGTGTAAAATGATCCTAATTATATATATATATTTATGGGGAAGGATCCGTTGACAAACTTTTTTTACAAATTACACTAAGTATGACCGGTCATACACTCTTGATTGAAGTATGACCGGTCATACTTAGTGTAGTTTGTAAGAGTTTGTAAACAAAAAGTTTGTAAATATAACCTTCCTCTACATATATATATGGGTTCGCTTTTTCTGCAGTTACTGCAGATAAATTATCTGCAGTAAGCTCAATATGACATCGTTTTGGGGTGGGAATCATGGTGTTTTTGTAATTTTAATTTATTTCAGGGTTATTATAGTCTTTCTAATTATAATTTTTTAATCTTTCGATTCCAGAACGACGTCATTTTGGGAGTAAATGCAGATAACTCAACTATATATATATATATAATAGAAGATGAAACTGGGGTTTCCTATCCTTAATACAACTGATAAAGCATTTATATAAAGGGTTCCCTTTTTGTTATTTGACATGACAAGAACACTTTCCTACACACACAAATCAAGTGTGGGTCCCACGCTTAAAAAAAAAAAGTCAGACCAAAGTCAGGATACGACGCCGTATCCTTAGGATACGACACCGTATCCTTGTTGCAGGAATGAACAGTGCCATTCCTGCAACATGATTCTTATATTTCCCTTCTATAAAAAGCAGAGCTGGGATGCAGAGTAGGTCTCTATAATAAGTAAAAATCACAAATTTGAGTCATCCACTCCATTAAGTATTTAATTTGGAGCAGTTTTAAGTTGCAAAAAGTTGAGTCTTACATCAGTACTTTGCTTCTGATTTAATCAGTAGATTCCTAAAAAATTTACCACCCGGACTTAAACAAGTACATTTGTAGAAAGTGCAAACATCACAAGGCTATGATTAAAACTATGATTAACAGAAATCTTTGAAAAGAGGGTGATGCTGTTAAAAGATGCTCTTACTTTCACTGCAACTTTACAGTGCGCATGGAATATACATGAGCCACCAAAAAGAGGTCAGAGTTTTCCCACTTAAAAAGCATACAAAAAAGCAGGTAGGTAATAAAATATTCAATGAATTGAGATTCAAAATTCTTCTCTGAATTCTCATGCTCCCATCTACAAAAATACAGTCTTACACACCCATCCAGCTGACCGAAAAGCCTTATCTTTTCCATGAACCATATGTACTGCTCAAAACTATTAAAAACAATTATAATAGCCTCACCTTTTTTTCTTTCTATAATACATGATCAAATGCTTATTTATTATACAATTTCCTGACATAATTGTTCAAGTACCAACGTTTAATTTGTTTTATTGTAAAAGCTTGTACCTTTTGTTCACCCTATCTATATAAGCTTCTCCTCAACAAACACACACTACATCAGTACTGGTCTTCCATGGCATATTAAGGTACAACCTTTATTCTCTCTCACTCTATACTCTCCTCAGTTTGTTAAATGTATCTGGTCAATCACAGAACTTTTAAGTCCTTAGTTTTTCTGTTCACAATAAAACAGTGCATAGAATCCAGTTGCTCAATCTGACATAATTGTTTCTTTCCCTTCATCACGATTTTCATCCTACTGAATTGAAGAAGGCGGTTAATGCTACTACCAGATTGTATGCAAGCTGATACAAAAGCTTCATTTAAACCTCTTCTATTCAGAAGCAAGGGTTCTCATTTTGTTGGCTCCTGAGTTAGTGTTCTGGTTTTGGAATTAGCTGGATCTAGAATTGGTAAGCCCTTCAACACTAAATTTATATTTGTACCTAAAACATTAATACATTTGAGATATATATATTTGGGCCAATTTTATCTATCTGATACATTGTCTTCAACATGATAGGTACAAAGGATCACTTTGTCATTCATTCAACTTTCAACTAGATCTCTTTCAGTTTCACTTCATAAGAGATTGTTGTCAACTAGCTAGTATGGATGGTCTGAGTTGGAATGCCTCACAACTTGTTGCAAACATACCAATCTTGTGGAGCACTCAGCCACAAGAACTTGAAGGAGACTACTCCATGCCCAACCTTAGTTCAAGTGTTCTAAATCAAATGCAAGGGATGCAGAAGGCTCAAACAGGCCATCTATATCCCAGTTCTGAAAAAGTGAGCGACATGGTTCAGTCAGCATCTGCAACCACTTCTGAGATAATGAGTATGATGCCAAACATAAATCTGCCACAGAGAATAACAACCATGCCAGTAAAATCAGTTGCTGGAACCAGTTGGGAAGAAGCTTTAGCATCTCAATCATGCCCGTCCCTTTCAGTCAATATCAACACAACTAGCAATTATGTGCCAGATTTCAACATGGCCCACCAGCAGCAACTTATCAACAGCACCCAAAATGGAAAGTCTACTTGCTCTCTTGAGTCACTTGATTGCTTGTTTTCAGCTACAACTAATAGTAACACAGAACCTTCTGTGGAAGATGATGGGATTTCCATGATTTTATCTGACTGCAGAAACTTATGGAACTTCAGTTATGGCAGTGCAGTTTCATCTGGTGAATCTGAGAGTAATGCTTCCAATGCTAGAAACCAAGACATGCAGTATCCTGTCACTGAACTCGATGAAACGGTATCTCAAAGTTCCTCGGATCAATATGTCATGAGTCAAGGGAAAACAATACATTCTAAGGTAAATTGCTCAAAAAGAAGTTATGATGATCAATATGAGTTTATCAAAGTTGCTGCCAATGATCCCTACTTCAGTATTGTCCAGAATTCTTCTGCTACTGAAAGTGGTTTCAAGCTTATCTCTGAGAATCAACCAAAGAAACCCAGATGGGATAAGCGTCCTGGTTCATCAAATATCAATTTCCAGCAGCCAAATTCATCTGTGTCAACTTCCATCATTGAAGAACCTGATCCAGAGGCTATAGCACAAATGAAGGAAATGATATATAGAGCTGCAGCTTTTAGGCCAGTGAACTTGGCCTTGGAAGTAGTGGAAAAGCCTAAAAGGAAGAATGTGAGGATATCAACTGATCCACAAACTGTGGCTGCAAGGCAAAGAAGGGAGAAAATAAGTGAGAGGATTAGGGTTTTGCAGAAGATTGTGCCTGGTGGAAGCAAGATGGACACTGCATCAATGCTTGATGAAGCTGCAAACTACCTCAAGTTCCTCAGATCACAAGTGAAAGCACTAGAAAATCAAGGGAACAAACTTGACACAATGAATTGTCCTCCTACTAGCTTTGCCTTCTCTTTCAACCCTTCTTTTCCCATGCAAACCTATTTCTCCATCCAAAACCCTAGTGGCCATATCCAACATTCCCAGGGTTGACATGGTTATTATCATGGATGAAAAGATGTAACCCTTAATCTCTAATTATTTCTTCCCATGACAATGATTAACATATCCTCATGTTTTAGCCAAAGTTGCAATTTTGTTCATTGTCGATAATAATGTAATTTACTTCCTAACATCTTCAATGACTTTTTTAAAATTCTCATTGATGATGAGTACGTTTTCCAATTGCTATCTTAATTAATTCGTTATGAGCATTATGCATGCATGAGGGAATAGAGTACTTTATAGGTTACACTAATTAGTGCTTTTGATGCTTTCACTGCTGCAACTGCATTTTCTTTTATGAAGGAAGATGGTTACAGTGAAAGTAATGAAAATGAATTACATAACCTTTTAGCTTACAGAAAGGTGTAGTAATTATAACACCCATGATTAAGATCAAGGGCTAGAAAGTGATTGTCACTTTAAGTTTGTTTTAAAATAGTTTAATGCAATCTATGTACTTAAAGTGTATTTTTCTTGGAGATCTTCAATGTTTTTATTTTTAAATTAGTGTTTTGTTAGTTAATATTTATCCACGCAAGAGAAACATTCTCTTAAGACTAGTGAACTGAGTCAGTGGTCCTGTCTCCTTGATTCAATCCAAAGCGTGCTCTTGAAAATCACTCTAAACTCATTGCTCAGCACGTGTATATTCTTCTTTTTTGGCAGGAGTGATTGTCATAAACAACATATATAATAATATAATACCTTTGTGCCTTATTTAAAAGTTCAAAAGTTGTCAAATATTAGTGTAGCCAAATGATATTGTTAATGATGATGACTATGATAACGACGACTATAACGACACATGATGTGGATTTCGTGCTATATTGTCATAGAACATGGATTATTTTAATTTGGCTCGACTATCTTCACTAAGCACATGCCTCTGCTATACTGTATCTGCATGTGGCATTTCCTTTGTCATGCTTAAGAATTATTCCTACTTTTTGTTCATCATTGATCATCAACGTATATAAAAGTCTATCTGATCTCCCACTTATGATGTAAGTATTTAATTTTATATTTTACCATATGAGTCTTTTTACAAAACAAACTAACACCATTTTTTCCCTTACAAATATTGAAAATTTTTTATACTCAATTTTACAATCAGAAGAATTGCTGACCTTGAGTATGGTTTTAAATATTTGGGTCTTTCTCGTGAAATTGCAGCTGGAATTGAAGGTTGAGGATTGGGAGAAAAAGAAAGAGAGAGAGAGAGTGTGTGTGTTGATGGGACGAAATTAAAGAGGCTATGGTAGTTGGGGTTCCTTGCTAAATATAGAAATTACATATGTTATGAAAAGGACCAGATCTTTGGCTTGGTTTGGATTTTATCCGTTGAATTTGATTTCTGATCAATCAACAAATTGCGTGTCTTGAGACTTGAAGAATGTTATTGTGAACTCATTGTCATGTAGGCTTTCCCGTTTTTATAGGTTGTGTTGTTTAGTAATTGGAACTAGTGTTTCTTATATTATGAAGATAGTTTTATCTTTACACATATATAATAGTATGTGAAATTTATATATTCTTTTTTTTCTCTCTTTTCTGTATATAACTTCACATGAGTGTGCATACTTTTATGTGTGTTTAATTTATCTCCTACATGCTAAACTAAACAAATCAAAGGTCATAGTCAGGGTATTTTTTTTAGAGGGCAAATCTACTATGCATCTTTCAAATAGGGTTTTCCAGTACACTCGTTGATTATAGGTCATTGGATGAAACAAATGGTTGTGATTTTTCTTTCAAACAGTATTTTTTATTCTCTGTGATTTTTAGAGCTTCTGTACACCCTTTCTCTCCTCTCTGTGATGCTATTGGAGGAAGAATGGTGGCTGAGTCCTTTTTTTTTGTTTGGAAACGTGGCTGAGCCCTTTAATCACCAAGGTCAAGGGCACACTGATGCAGCTCAAAATTCTGTGGTCTGTTGTCACACACGATAGTATTCGGGAAAAAAAAATTGACTGTTTCTTTACAACTTTTGTGAAAGGGAAAAAAAAGTCTAATCTTACATGGAATTTTTAACTCATATTATACAAAGAAAATACAAAGAGATATATACAATATTAGACTTCTATACTACTATTCTAAAACAGATACAATAAGTATGAGACTTATTTATTAAAAAAAAAACAAAAAACAAAAAAAGAGTTACACATTTTTTTATGATGTTTGTCGAAAGAATTTATTTTCTCCTATGAGAAAAACAAATTTCTTTGTAAAATTATCGAATGCTAATTATGCAAGTAAAATGTTATATATTGGATAATATAATTGCAGGATAAATAACAAAAGTTATATACTTGTGTAAATTATAAATTAAATAATAAGAATTATAGACTTCTAAATTTATAACTTTTTATTATTTAATTTATAAATTAAAAAACGTAATTTCAGTTGTACCCCATGAAATTGAGTGAAGTCAACTATCGCTGCCTGGTATTAAAAAAAGATATAAATTAATTGAAATGTAATTTGTTTTTCTATTTTTGGAGTAAATTGATTCATAGAAGAAATTTTCGCTGCATTGACGCTCTTGTTTCAGATGGTGCACCCAATATTTTCCTCTCTTATTATGCAAGGTTTTCTTATTTTTGTAAAGGAGATTTTAACTTATTTTTGAAGAATAAAAAGTATAGTTAATTATTTCATTGTATGTCTCCAAAAAAAAATTAGTTAATTGAGATAGATAAATAATTTATTATATTAAGTTCTAAAAATAATTAAATTATTGGTATAAAATAATTAATAATTAAATTTGTAATTAATTATATGTGTAAAAAGTGATTAATTTAACCTTAGTGGATAATACAATGCTTTCTCGTTAAAACTAAAATTCTAACATATAATAAATTTTATATTTCACCTTTCTTGAATTATATATATATATATATATATAGGATCATGATCATTTTACACCGGTGTAAGACTTATCAAGACTGATAAATCTTACACCACATTTCAACCGTTGATTTTCGTGCATTCAACGGTTATAATTTAGGAAGTCATATGAATTAATTAATATTAATTAACCATTAATTACATTACAAATATCAACCAATGATTTTCGTCCATCAACGGTTGAGATGTGGTGTAAGATTTGTTAGTCTTACACTAGTGCAAAAAGAACTTGCCCCATATATATGAGAAAAATTATATTTATAAATTTTCTGTTTACAAACTCTTATAAACTACATTATATAATATGGGTAGTACATTTCAGCACAATGTGTACTACCCCTAATACATAGTATAGTTTGTAAAAAAAATAGTTTGTAAATATAACCTCCCTTATATATATATATATATATATATATATATATATATATATATATATATATATATATATGGGATAGGTTATACTTATCACCATTTTTCTTACCACTAAATTTTAACCGTTGATTTCTGTCAATCTAATGTTGTAATTCATTTGGAATTTATAATTAATTAATAAGTGTGACCCAATAAATTATAATCATTAGATTGACAAAAATAAAAGGTTAAAATTTGATGGTAAGAAATTCTTATCACTTTTTACCACTAAATTTTAACCGTTGATTTCCGTCAATCTAATGGTTGTAATTCATTTGAAATTTATAATTAATTAATAAGTGTGACCTAATAAATTATACCATTAGATTGATAAAAATCAAAGGCCAAAATTTGATGGTAAGAAATTGCAAGAAAAAATGGTGGTAAGTATAACCTCCTTACGTATATATATATATATATATGATGATTAGTGGCAGAGCCAGGATTGTTACGTTGGGGGGGTGCGAAGATAAATTTTTCTTCAAAGTAGATTGAGGCAGAAAGATATCCACTCTTGATACTTCTTTTGGCTTTTCAAAATTCCAGTGAGATAAAAAGAACCAGTCATAGAAAAAGAACAAGTTTTCCTATCGTAGTTCACAGTTTTTCTCACTGAGCTTGCCAAGTTGACAACTAGGTTTCATTCATCTTGCTGTGTGGTGTGATTATTACCCCATGCTACTCTTCCAGCTCTGGTCTGATTCACAAATTTTTTCTTCACATTTTTTTTGGAGGAGGGCGGTCGCCACTGCTAGCACCCCTGGCTCAGCCCCTGGTCATGATTAAACTACGTTATTTTGTTTATTTATTTTTCTATATTAATTGATTCATCTTTGCATGGTTGTGATTCTCTTTTTCTCTCTCTTCCATTATTACCATTGATCCACTTTTGTACGGTTATGATTTAGTGACCAGATAAAAGCTGATATCTAATGACTTGACACTCATATAACCATATATATATATATGAGTTTATTATTTCTCTGCTCACACGAGATAAAGTTATCTTCTGCAACCTCAAAACTATGTCGTTTTGAGGGTTATGGAAATTAATGAAGGGTGTTTCGGTAATTTTATTTATTTCTTTATTATATGAATTCTATTAAAATACCCTTCAGTAATTTCCATAACCCTCAATACAATGTAGTTTTAGGATTGTAGGAGATAATTTTATCTCATGGTCACAATATACAGTGTTAGAAGATATATATATATATATATATATATATATATATATATATATATATATATATATATATATATATGGAAAATATTTCTACAATCACTTTAGATAAGGTTGTCTACAGCTATCCCTTTTAAATTAAGTATGACCGGTCATGCATTAAAATTGTATTTTCTCTCTCTGCCACGTCAGCCGACAGTGTCGGAGGAAAGAGAAAAAAAGAACAGCTTTATTGTTATAACTAAGTATGATCGGTCATACTTAATTAAAAAGGGATAGCTGTAGATAACCTTATCTAAAGTGGCTGTAGAAATACTTTTCCTATATATATATGTAGGCAAACTTTAAAATTTGCCATTAAATTATAACCGTTGATTTTCGCAAATCAATGGTTATTATTTATTGAGAATTATTAATTAATAAATTTGATTCTCAATAAATGATAACCGTTGATTGACAGAAATCAACGGTTAGAATTTGGTATCAAATTTCAAAGTTTGACGCGCACACACTACACACACTATATATGGATAGATAGATAGACACACTACACACAACACAGCAGTGGCGGAGCCACGTATACGCTGGGTGTGACCTCGATCCGGGCTAAATTTTAACAAATTGTACTTATTATATATAATTTTATAATTAATTATAATTTGGCCCGGGTTAAAATTGTAATTTGGCTTATGTTGAGATATATATCCCACATTGGTTGTATGAGCAACTAATGTGGAGTTTATAAGACCTTGGACACTCCCACCCTTTGAGCTAGCTTTTGGGATGGTGTATCCCAAGATTTTTTACATGGTATCAGAGCCTCGCCGTCCCCCACTTTCTCTTGTGGCATTTCTTAGCACAGGTAGGCTGGGCCTGTTACATTGTCCACTCTTCAAGCCCAATGGGCTCTTGTGTGAGGGGGCGTGTTGAGATATATAGTCCCACATTGGTTGTATGAGCAACTAATGTGGAGTTTATAAGGCCTTGGGCACTCCCACCTTTTGAGCTAGCTTTTGGGGTGGTGTATCCCAAGATTTTTTACAGCTTATAATTTGTAATTTAGCCCTATCTAAAACTTAAAATATTCTTGGTGAAAGATTTGGATAAATTGTATTAGGTTGTGTTCAATTTTCAGTTGTATAAAAAAATAAAGTATTTTTAGTAAAATTAAAAAATATTTAATAAAATTATAACTTTTTTTTAGTGCATATTCTCTGTATTTAATATAGTTTAAATATATTATAATATGAACTAACTAAAATTAAGAAAAAAATACACATAATTTTTTTGAAACAGACTCAAATTAGAGCTCAGCTCCGCCACTGCAACTAGGGGTGAAACTGGGCCGGGCCGGCCTACAGGGGCCTACGACTCGGCCTATATCAGGCTAGATCTGACCTAGTATATTTTGTATAATTGGCCGGACTCGGGCCTTAAAAAAGCCTGTTTAATAAGAAGGCCGTAGGCCCACTTTCAAAAGGCCGGGCCTATAAGCCTACAGGCCGGCCTATATTGTAAAATATTTATTTTATTAAAGAAAATAGAGTAAGTATGCCTTGAAAAAAAAAGATATAAATTTAATCAATTGCAATTATTTATAACTTAATTATATTCGATTATATTTTAATAGAAATCTTACTTTATTTCTTATATAGAAGGAACCAACATCTCAACATGTTAGATTGTGTATATGAATATATTAAAAGATTTTTGGGAGAGATTATACTTACTACAAACATCATGATGTGTTTGTTTGTTGGATTTATGTAGTTATTTTAATTTACATAGTATGGATTTGTTTGTTGAATCTGATGAAATATATGTTATTTAGTTTGAGCATTTTGTTTTTGAAAAATGACTTAAATGCATATTCTATTAGTTTTGTTATGATTCTTTGGATGTTGAAATTATGATTTTTGATGTAGTAACATAATTTGAGTAATTTATAAAGTTGATTCATGGTTCTGCTTGGAAGTTAAAAATTAACAGGCTAACGGGCCAAGCGAGGCCATTTGTTTTTTTATAAACGGGCCAAACCAGGCTAACAGTTAGACTCATTGGGCCAGACCAAATTGAAATTTTTTGACGTAGACTTGAACTTTTCGGAACAAAACTTGGCCTAGCTCCAGCCCACTTTCACCCCTAACTGCAACATAGTCTACACTCGTGTGATTTTTTTATCACTTAAAATGAATAGAGCGAAATTTCAAAAAAAAATAAAAAATGAATAGAGCTTGTTACTGTTATCATACTGCATGTGTCGTCTATAAGCAAACTGTAAAAACTAAAATGGAAGAAAATTGAGCTCCAAATTTACTACCGTTCTAGAGAGCTCTCGCCGCTAATTCTATCAAAGGAGACAGTGCTTAAGCTGCTCGATGAACTCTCATGATTGTTAGATTCAGACAAATGAGTTATCCTATTTGCCAAACATTGTTTTAGTTCCATAACAACATGGCTCATGGTTGGCCTCTTAATGGAAGTGGGTGCTACACAAGCCATTGCTGTATCTGATGCTTTCTTTGCAGAATCAATATCAAATTCCCCCTGTAACCTTGAATCCACAATATCATTGACCTCCCTTTCAGTCAGCATGGAACCAACCCATTGAATTATGTGAATTTTCTCTTCAGTTTTGGTAATGGCAGGTCGGCCAGTAATTATCTCAAGCAAAACTACTCCAAAACTGAAAACATCACTTTTTTCATTCAACCTGCTTAATCTATTGTACCTGCAGAATAAAAATTTGCAACTCAATCCATATATAATCAAAAGAGAAAAAGGAAAAACAAAGTGTTGTCTTAAGACCCTTTACAATTCACATTTGGGTTTGAGTTGAAATAATAACTTACTCTGGATCAAGGTATCCTGGGGTGCCAGCAATCACTGTGGACATATGGGTGTCACCTTCATTAGGGAAGATCTTTGACAAACCAAAATCAGCTAGTTTACCCTGGAATTTTTCATTTAGTAAGATGTTTTTAGATTTAACATCTCTGTGAACAATTGGTGGATTGCAGCCATGATGCATATACTCCAATCCTACAGTTAAAAGTTCAAGTTATGTTTTATTGCATGAACTATAATTCTTACTCTCATGTAAGGAAGGAGGGGAGGAGCAAAAGGATTCTTTCCATACTTACCTTCTGCAGTATCCACTGCAATTTGAAGTCGTTGTTTCCAACTCAATATATTTTCGTTTTTATCTGCATTTATGAAACAAGCTTCACAAGGAATTCATGAATTTTAAAACAGGAAATCAGGAAAACAGAAAAGAAAAGACAAGAGACATCATTCTTGACACTTTTAGAATAATATATAGAAAAGACCAGTAGAACTGATCTATGCTCAAATTTTAAGCCTCATCTAAATGTATCTGATTTAACTTTATTTGAATTGTTTGTCATTGGCATCCTTTGACTATTTAGAGTTTTATGAAGATGACCAAGACATTTAGAGAATAAGAAGCATTTAGTTTCAATCAGTGTCTTTCATCTAGCAAAAGTAGATACGAACTTGAATAAATATTATGTAACTGCCCCTTAATTGTAACATGTTAGTGAGAAATAAAATTAGATGGGCTCAAATGATCATACCTGATAAATGTTTCGCCAAGTCTCCATTAGCCATATACTCATAGATGAGAGCCATGTTGGTGCCATCATCACAATACCCTATAAGAGCAGTCAAGCATTTATGATGAACTATAGCAAGAAGTTTGGCCTGTGAATCAGAAAGTCATAATTCCTTCAGTAAACATAAATATGATATCACCATTGAGTTTATACATAGGTATGATGGTATTTGAAGTTAATCATACTACCTCAGCCTGAAATTGCTGATATCCTTGAGCTGAGGGAGAGAGCATTTTGACAGCTACCTCAGTATCATCTAGATAGCCAAGGTAGACTGTTCCACTTCCTCCTTTCCCCACAACCCTCTCAAAGTTTCTGGTTATGCTCAAGACTTCAGTATAGGTGAATTCTTGTTTATTTGACTCAAGTTCCTCCTTTATTCTGGAATAAGCACTCACCTTGCTCAGACCAGGGGAAACTGTGGGAAGAAGAAAACACCATCAATATCCACATATACACACATAGGAACCATTCATTTAAGATTAAATGGTTAAGATTAACTTTTCTCACGCTCTCACAACCTCGTTTGACACATCCCCCCAATCATTTATTTTGCCTTCCCCCATATATCAATAGAACAGAAGATAACATATACCTCTTTGACTCCTTTTGTATATGCTGAAAGGAATCACTGTGACAGCTAGCATCATGAAAGCTCCACCGAGTGATGCCACCAGTGGAACCACAATCTTATTCCCATTCCCTTCGTTGCATGAACCTGAGGAGCAAAGATTTGGATTTCCACCAAAACTTGTGTTTACAATAAGAAATAAACAGGTTACATGACATTGTCTTACCAAATGGTAAACCAGAACTAATATGCCAGTGACGCCATTCATTTTTGTAATATTAATATGAGATAAATCACTAGCTCAAGGGAAATGAAGTCAAAACAGAAACATAGTATTATTTAAAAATGAAATTTGAAATGGAGCATACTTGGATTCAAGCAAACCATTCTTTGAACGCACAATGAGTTGCATTGGAATTGCTCCTGATAGTTGATTTCCTTCCAGGTTTCTTCAATGGAGAAAAAGGGTTACCCTTTATACAAGCTTTCATAAAAAAATTTAAAAACCAGAAAAAAAGGGTAAAAGTTCTATTAAGAGCTGGACCTGGTTGAGGTTTTTTAACAATAAGGTGCACATTGACATTTTTATCATGATTTCTTGAACAACTCAAGCAATAAAATTAATCGAAAAATCAACTCCATCTTTGAAATCTCTTTCTCATTATAGAATTCAGACAGATCAAAATAGTTTACTTACAGAACTTTCAAGAAGCGCAAATGAGATAGGAAGTCAGGCACGGCCCCAGTCAAACTGTTGTTTGATAAATCCCTAAAATGGAAAAAAAAAATAATTTTACTAAACTTTAGGAGCAGGAATCAATTTGTTATTATCAACTATATAGCTTGTTATTTGTATCTGATAGATTCAGAAACTTACAAATATTCTATCCAATTCAGACTGGATATGCCAGGAGCTATATTTCCAATTAAACCACTGGAAGATAAGTTCCTAAAAACATGATTGTAAAGTTCATGAATATTATTGAAGATAAAACAATAAAGTTGCAGTTAAAACTAAACTAAGGGATCAGTGTATATGTATGTCATGCCAAACTTACAAGTATATGATCCTTGGTGAACCAGATCCAGCATAGCTACAGTTAAGACCATCCCACAAGTAAGCCAGTGGAGTACAAGGATCTCCTTGCCAGTTTCTCTTGATCCCATATATTGATTTGACATTTATGATAGCATCAACTGTTATCATAAATATAAGTAGGTCAGGAAGAAAATAAATATAGTCCTCTGAGTAATAATAAGAATAGTGCATGTTTATTGTGGTGTTGGAAAGGGTCTGGAATAAATTATAAGTTGATATTATTAGAGAGCAAAATCAGCTTATCTAAGAACATACCATCTGTTTGATATGTTTCTGATTGTAAGAAGTCCTTTGACATATATATCTCAATGGCATTGAGGAGAGGCGGAAGAGTTGATCTACTAGTTTTATTGATCCAAAGTTCCAACCGAGGTTCACTTACAGCATATGCATAATACAGGCTCTTCAGGTACAAAGGATTGACTGGAGCATTATTAATAACCTCCCCATTTACAAAAAAGTTGAACTCTCTAATTTGATTAGCCTTGAGCTTCTGGATTTCAGCAAAGTACAAGTACACATAATATGTGGAGGCATTATACTTGGGAAGGAAGTAAAATTTTATGTTGTCGCCAACATTTTCAGGAATTGCTGCTGTTCTCATGGCAATGGAGGGTGGTAATGGTAAAAAATTGTATGAAGGTGCTCCTTTGTCTATGGTGAATGTGGTATCTATCTGTTTCCAGTCATTTGAGTTATAAGGTGTCCACATCCTATCATAGACATCATCTGGATATCTTTGGCAAAGGAAAAACATGAGAGAGCATTATATTAAAAAGGAAGAAAAGAAAAAACATCATATTCCCTTTTAGTGTTAGTTCCATGATATCACTGTGCTATATTGTAAAATGACTCACCTGATCATTTCACCATTCCTTAAGCCTACATCAAACCGCGCCAATAGCTCGAGAGAGTTAACTAGATAGGCATCACTGTTAAGAACTCTAAGCTCTAAAACTGAAATAAAAGGTGTACCCTTGTTGGTGTTAAATAGGCAAACATGAACATAATCTGATGAAGCAGCATAAATGATTTCCTTGGTTATTACACTGGATGCATCCTCAAACACCACTGATTCCCACCATTTGGCTCCAAGATAGATATCAAATTGGGGAAGAAAGTCTTTGCCATCATAATTTCCATACATGAAACTGGCCCTGACTAAATATTTCTTGCTACTTCCTTGAGGAACAAGAAGGGTATAGCAGTTCCTGGTTCCTCCCGGGAAGCTTCTAACATTCCAGAACTGCCTATCAAGGGAAGCCTTATATTTAGGTGATATGGTGTGGCTTTCACCATTGCCTGTGAAGTTGACATCCGAAGTGTAATTGATGGCAGTGGTTTCATCTGTGTAGCTTTGTTCATCCACAAGTCCACAGTCAATACTAATGAAGCCTAGAAAAGGTGTAAGCATAAGTTCTCATGACAAGAAGCAATCCTAGTATTCAGAATAACGAGATGAGACAACCGAACCTGATTGATTCTGGGCATGAACAATGATAAGAAGTGTCAAAGAAAGTTGAAACACGAAAAATAGTAAGTGTCCTAATGCCATTTCTGAATTTTGTGTATAGAATTGAAAAAAACTTGTTACAGACTCAATCTGATAATGGATGTTGAAACCTCCTGGTTATATTTTTGGACTAGTAAGCACCTCCACGAGATTGAAGAATTGAAGAAAACAAGCCATTTACAAGATATGATTGAGCTTAATCATTCAAAGATGATATTAGTTTTAAACTTTTAATCTCAATATGGGTGCTATTGAAGTCAAATTTTGCTGAATATTAAATTCCTTCACCCCCTTTTTTGACTATTAGAAACTTCCCAATTGAATTGTCCAAATTGCATATGCAATTTTCTTTGATTAGTTTATTATTGGATTTCTAGACTTGCATGCATATTTGTCAATTAAGTACAGCTAATTTTGGCAAAAAAATACTCGTACCCATTTGACAAGCTGATAAACCAAACTGAATTCAATTCTCTGCACCATACTTGACCCAAAATTTCAAACATCTAGCGATTGCTAATTTTATTTATCCATTGTTGGTGTTGAAATCAAGAGCACTTTCACACCTAGTTCCTCTGCAACTTCGGACCAGGAGAGGAATCTAGGTAATACCGTAACTATGTTTCTCGTCAGCCATAACGTGGCCTGCAAAATTCAGCAACCTAGGGTCCTAGTTTGTTTTTAATTAGACATACTTTGTGGGGGCAAAATCAATTGCTTTTGATTTGATCATAAAACAAACTTGCTTGCCAATGGTTTTCAATCTCATGGAAGCCAGAATCATATTTGAAGATGTAACAAGTGGTTACAACACATTTGATAAATTAAAACACCATAGACTGCATGTTGGAAGACTCAAACCTATGAAAATTTTCTTAATTTTTTTAAAACCTATTACCTTACAATTATTTTTAAATATGAATTCTTTTTTAAAAAAATTGGCTTAATTTTTTACTAAGGGGTTATCACTATAATTTTTCTTCTCTAAAAACAATTAGGTCGATTGGAGGATGACTCTTTCAAAAATATTCTCTTCATCCCTTGAACTCAAACTCGAGAGATTAAAAGAAATAAACTCCTTAGTCCTTACTGTTTGAATGAATATATTCCTCGCTTTATAAGAACATCAAATACTTAGTGCTTGTTTGAGAGGATTTTTTTTTTTAGCTTAGCTTATATTTAGAAGTTAGGTCAAATAATTTTTTTTTCTGATAAACAAAGGTCAAATAGCTTTTTACAAAAGCTCTTAAAATAAAAAAAAATATAACAAAGAAAAAAGTTAAAAATCAAAAGTTCTAAGAGGAGCTTTTTTTAAAATTGTATCAATTTTTTTTATAAAAATAAACAATCTTTTTTTTAAAATGAATAGCTTTTAAGTAATTTTTAAACTAAATTTTTTATATAATCATCCAATAACTTTTAATTTTATTTTTAAAGTTTTTTTTTTAATTTTATCTTAAAAGTAACTTTTAACTTTAAAAGTAAAAATGTATCAAACAGGCTCTTAGGAATTACTAATAAATTTCGATATATGAATAAATCAACTACATTCCTGTTATCGAACTTCAATTTCTATAAAAGGGAATTATAGGGGTTACTTAGTTACAAGATGTCCAAAAGATTAGTTTTATAACAATACATTTGACCAATAAGCTAATTAAGTTGTGCCCAAGTTAATTCGAAGTTTCAAACATCATTTAACCATTATAAAAAGATAAAAAAAAAACTCATTTCTTTTATATTTATTAAAGAGTTATGTTTATATCATTTTACATGAGATAAACAATTCTCCTACACACACAAAAAGAGGTGGAGTCCCACAACTCTTTTCTCTCTCTCATTTCTGTGGGTCCCACTTATACTTTTATTTCTACAACATAAGAAATTTTTTTTCTACAACATAGGAAAAATATATCTTTTATTAAATAATAACAATTTTATGTACATCAAAAATAGAAAAGCAAACCAAGACAAACTGAGAAGAAAACGCCAGCATCATCAGTCACGTGCCTGTCACGCTGGGACGTGCTTGCAGGGTCACGAAACAAAATAGTAATATACTGTAGTCATCGCTGTTAACCGTGAAATTGAATTCCCAATCCGATGATCGCCGGTGAAATCCATCTTGCACCTGAGATTTCTCTTGCGCTTCCCGATTCAAGCCTAGGGTTTTTGTTTGTGCTCTCGTCTTCCTCTCTCTGGTACGTGAAATTCTCCTGCTTTCATACCGGAATTCCAGTTCTTTCGCTACTACTATACACTCTTTTGCGGCGGATTTGTGATTTGGGTAGTTTCTATAATTAGAAGTGTTTTTCTTGTCTTCTACATTGATGCGCATCTGGGATGATTCAGCTGATATTGGACTATGGATGTAAATACAGAGAAATTTAGATAAGCTAGCATTTTTATGCTATTTGCATGTAATTCATGGTCAATTATTTCATGGGTTTGTTTCAAACAGCCAACTTTGACGAGGCAATGTTTTATGCATATGCGTGATCATGAACTTAGTATAGTATCTGTCCAATTTTATTTGGATTTAATTTTCAGGGTTAGGATTGGGCAGATATGAGCTTTGATCCGTTTAGATCAATGCAATGATATATGAGCTTGTGTTTTGTTGTAGAAGAGTATGGGATTAGGAATATTGTTTTCGTCTGTATACTATTTGGATATTAGAATCGAGATTTTATTGCACAGGAACTTGTGTACTGACGAAGAAGAAGATTGAATTGTGAACAGCATGGTGAGTCTTGTTATTTTGTTTATTCATGTTTTTGTTATGTAACAGTGTTTATTCGTCTGACCTTGTCTGACATGTTCTGCAATTGATTTTACCTCTCCACCTTTTGGTCACAAAATAAAAAAAAATAGAATTTCCTTCTTGGAGCTTTCAAGCCGGCATGTAACATCTTAATCACATTTACTGATGGGAAAAGTCGTAAGCAGGTGAGCCCTCTTTTCATAGTGAATTGGGGTATCTATTGAATTATGCCTTGTGCATTCTGTAATGATGATGCAAAGCTCGATTATGCTTGGTGAAAGTTAAGGAAGGGAGATTGTAACTTGGCTTAAAGTTGTCTTAGAGTATAATGCTTAACCATCTTTTTAAAAATGTGGCTTTCTACCATTATAGTGACTCGTATATGATTTAATTATTACAGTTGATGTGCTTTGTGGTTTTGTAGATTCCACTGAAAAAAGAGAATGATCAAACAGTTATGGTCCCTCTTTTCCAAAGTCAAGAAAACATTGCTGGGAAGGTATTTTATTTGTTAATGTTCTTAATATTATTGAGTGTATCTTAAACGTGTTATTGTTGAAATAAATTTCTATATCTTGTCTTATGAACCTTACTGCATTGAATATTTATCAGTTTGCTGTCATGATCAGATTACAATAGAACCAGTGCAAGGGAAGAAGATTGACCACAATGGCATAAAAGTTGAACTCCTTGGACAGATAGGTTTGTCCTTGGCTACTCTAACTATTTAATGTGGCATGTGTCTCCAAAGTCGAATGTGGTATTAGTTCTTCATATACTTCGTTGACCCTTGTAGTTGTAGTATTTGCATTTTCTATCACTATGTGTGGCCGTGTGGGGAGGATGATAATGTCTGTAGTTTTTTGGCCAGACAATTCCTATTCAGCCAATTTTATTTTTTAAAAAATTAATGTTTTCAAGATACTATGTGATAATGAAAGCAAGATCTTGTTGTATTTTCTAGCATTTTTTTGTAATTTCCTAATGAAACATGCATTATTTCCCAGGCTATTTTGACCTTTATATTCCTTTAATGAGACTGGAGTTATGGTTTCTCTAGTCCGTATGTAAATTTCAGTTCTTCATTTTGAGGATATTTGCTACTTCTAGCTTTTTAATTCGTTATTTTCTTGTTCAATTGTTGTTTGTGTTAAATATTTGAAGCTGATTCTCTGTCTTTTATCTAATAGACATGATGGCCTGTTGGATTGTTTCTTTTCTATCTTAAATCTTTGTTTGTAATGATCATGAAGGGAAAGAAGTATTCCATTATGAACTTGTATAAAACATACAAAGTTGTTATTCCACTATTGCTTGGGGACTCATTTATTTGCCAAATGACATTTGAAATCATATCGTTTTCTCTTCAAGTCTGATATCATTTTCTTATCTTGTTTCAACATGCAGAGATGTATTTTGACAGAGGGAATTTTTATGACTTTACCTCTCTTGGTGAGCAACTGAGCATTCTGTAACTTCCTTTTAATAATGGAACTCTACTACATGGTTGTAGTACTACTACGATTACTTATACTGCTGAGAAATAATAGGTTGGGGCTTGGTAGGGGAGGAAAAGAGAATTTTATCTTGTTTATCCTTTCGTTTGAATTAATATGAAAACTCTACTTGTTATTCTGCTTTGTAATTCATCTTAAAGGTGAATAAAATGTGTATAATTTCTTATATCTTGTATATGGTTTCAGTTTCTTATTATCTTTCTTGCCATGTTTTTCAGTACGAGAACTGGATGTTCCGGGAGATATCTATGAGAAGAAAACTTATCCATTTGAATTTTCGACTGTTGAAATGCCCTATGAGACATATAGTGGGGTGAATGTGAGGCTTAGGTATGACTGATTTCTTGGAGACTCGCGAACTTCCAAATGTAAAGTTTTGTGCGTGTATTTTTTGTTGACTGGTTCTCTGAGACATTCCCTTTGCCCTGGCTTATTATACTAACAAACAGATACTAAGGGCATGCAATTTCACCATGCACAATGAGTGATTTAAAGTTTTTTTGGGGAATTGTGTCATTGTGTACGGTGCACTTATTGATAAGGCATTTCTGGTTCACTTTTAGCTGAATGTCTAAAATTTCAAATTTAGTTGTGGGTTGTTTTGATTATTTTGCCTCAGGGTCAATATATCTTTCTTTAAATTTTTTATGTAAAACTAGTTCCACTTCTTCCTCAAGTTTTCGAAATAAATAATAAAATGACAACTGGGCATATCATCGTTTACCTTTTATGGATGCTCCTTGTGATCCAGTAGTTAATTTTGAATGCAGAAAGTTATATGCATTGTCATGATTGTTTGTTTTTAGTAATAAATAAGTTACTTCATATTTGATTACTGAAGGAGAAATTCAGAATCTGTGTTCTATTTTAATTTTAAAAATAATAGGTTGGGAATTTCGAATATGATACTGTGTGATGTTTTATGCATTTGCAATTTCCAGGTATGTCTTGAAAGTAACCATCAGTCGAGGTTATGCAGGAAGCATGGTAGAATACCAGGATTTCATGGTATGTTATAAGAGAAGATCTTGAGAGTCATGGTCTGAGATATTGAGTTAAATTCTATTTTATCAGACCACTGCATTTCATGCATGGTATGTGTTGGATGTAGCTGCGAAGTACATTTTTAGTACGGATGAGTATGTTGTTCCCTATGCCAAAAAAATTAAAAAATATATATTTTATGTATGATATTATGACACTTATAATCTTTACCATTTAAATTACGTGTGTGTATATATATATATATATATCCTCTTCATATATCACTTGATTAATAAGTGTCATGAACCATCTCTGCTAAAAACTTATGTTATTAGATGAAGGTAAATGAATGGTTTTATATTGTATTTCTAACAATAAGCAAAATTGATATAGAAATTTTGATGTTTTTTATCATGACCCCATTTCATCTACTTATATATTTTTATATATAATCTCTGTTTTTATCATCATGATCAGGTATGCAACTATTCCCCCTCTCCGCCAATTAACAATAGCATCAAGGTGAGTTCATTAGCATAATATTTGATTTTCTAGATGTCTAGTATCAATTCTCTGCCACCATGTTAGCAGCAGTAATAGTGATGCATGCACGTACTTCCGATCAATTAAAATGACCAATGACCGGGGGGCAATTGTAAAGTGAAGTTGGATCGTTGACCATTTCCCTTCAGTTCATTGATAAAATATTTGCAGCCGCATATAGTTATGTTGCCTTAAACTTTCCTCGCCACTATGTTACTGGCTGCTTTTATTTCTTCTCCAATCTCCACTATAATTAGCATAATGTTATTTCTTGTGCAGATGGAGGTTGGTATTGAAGATTGTCTACACATAGAGTTTGAATACAACAAAAGCAAGTAAGTTTATGTATTCATGGGCCATTTGAAAAGAAATTATTGTATGAGTCTTTAGCAGATTAATAGTCTTATTCAGGTGCCAACTTATCTCCAATTTTATTTATTTATAGCTTGGAATTGGAAAATTATAATTGGTTTATCTTGTTTTCTTCCATTTGCCTGTAAATTTGTTATTCCAACTTAACTACCAGTGTATCATCTGTTGATTATAACTGGATAAGGGAATTAGATGCAATTTAGCATTCCTAGATGAGTAGGAAGGTATCTGCACTAAAAATAGTCAAAAATTAAAACCGCAGAATGATGTATCCACAGCTTGGAAGAGAATATTGTACTAATCTGCTCTTTTATATTTTATACCTGAAAGGGCAAAAGAATTGTAAATACTAATTTGGCTTATAACTTTTCAGGTACCATCTGAAAGATGTCATCATTGGCAAGATATACTTTCTCCTTGTAAGAATCAAGATAAAAAACATGGATCTAGAGATAAGGCGTCGAGAATCAACTGGGTCAGGTACCAACACCCATGTTGAGACAGAAACATTGGCTAAATTTGAGTTGATGGATGGTGCCCCTGTCAGAGGTATGTGAACACTGACACTGGATGATTAAAATATATCTTTTTGATAGTTTTCTACAATTCTACTCATATATCTGTATTTGATAATATAATAGTTTAGATCTATGTTTCCACATTGGTTTATACAAAATTCCGATCTTTTATAGTTACAGACTGATAAAGATGCATATTTTTTCATTAAATAATAATGAATATTAGATCTATCACAAAAAATCCCTATAAAAGAAAGTTGGTATACCATAGAAGACATTCATAATGTCTTCGTATACGCTACAAAAAAAAAAGGGTTGATTAGAGAAAATATGTTCTACTGGTTTTGCATTTTGAAACACAGATGAAAGACCTTCAACAGTTCAACCATAGATGGGGAAACAAAATTGCAAAAGACAACATTGTATTCTCTCTCACATACCCTGGCAACTAGAAAAGCCAAGGGGTGGAGGCAAAAGTTTTCTACTACAGATGTAGATTTGCCTACATAAAAGACATATCATCTTCTCATTTAAATAAAGATTGGATCTGGACACTAGCTATAAATAACATCACTTGTTCCTGGAATATGCACGTAGTAAAATGAATTATAGTGACAGGCAATTTACACTTAAACAAGCATAATTTATAATGTAAACTACTTTCAATACTCACAAAAATACAATGGCTAATGAGTGAATTTCTTACAGGTGAATCAATCCCAATCAGACTGTTCCTCAGTCCTTACGAGCTGACACCAACTCATCACAACATTAATAACAAATTTAGTGTGAAGTACTTTTTAAATCTTGTGCTGGTTGACGAAGAGGACAGGCGTTATTTTAAGCAGCAGGAAATCACATTGTATAGGCTGCAACAAACTTCCTGATTAATATACAGGGCATGAGTATTTTGTTTGACAAGGATAGAAATAATGAAGATTGCCATGGACTTTGAAGAGCTCCGGTATCTAGGGTTCAGCCACATGAATCAGGTTTTCTAAGTGGTAAAATGGCTTAGTTTCTAGCGGGGTCATTGCTTGAAATGCGACACCTGCTGTTATGTACATCGACTGATTTCTCATCCGTTTCTTGACCCAGTTTTGAAACATTAGACATGCCATTCTAGCTAGTTCTCTTATTTGTGCTGGATCATTGATATCCCTCAACGACAATCAATGCGTATTTGGTCTTTCTCTTTCGAACACCTACAGGCTTTGTGTCTTGCGCAATTCTTTACCACCGCATATTTAATTAAAGTTATAGGAACTATAACCGGCCCCTTTATTTATTGTTGAACTAAAAAACTTTGTGAAAAGTGATAAATAACGTATACCTCAGCTTGGAATTGTTGATAACCTTGTACTGATGATGGAGAAAACTTTTTCACTGCAACTGGAGTGTCGTCATATAGATCAGATAAACTGTTCCAAACCCACATTTACCAACAATTGTATTGCATTGTTGGTGATTTTTTAAGGACGTCAGAGTATGAATATATTTGTTTTTAGAATCGCAGTAATGTATCATTTTGTTTTGTGAATTACAAGTCATCAACAACTTCAGTCGATACTTCAATTCAATTTGATTGTGCTTAGGTGGCGCCATGTTTAACATGAGAACTAACTGTAATGAGTTCCAGATTCAATTCTTCCTGAGATGGGCATAAAGATTTACATTGAGGAGAGTGCGGTATAATTTGGTGTAACTCGTGATCTGATGGATTGAAAACAAAATAAAAACAGTAAGCATGGTTAAATGATAATAGCAAATTATTGGGCAGAGAAAAAGAAGACGATTTGCATAAAAGACTAAAATATAACTAATTGATAATCATCACCATAAATAACACTATTAGTGAGAATTTCTAATAAGACCAATGTCTTTGCATGCAAGTATAGAACGAATTAGATTGACAGTGCATCAAAATTAAATTTTAAATAAAATAAGTTCTTATTGAAAGAAACATTCAAATTAAAAACTGTCAATCGCTTACAAAAAAAACTGTAATCAATTTTTAATAAACGGGATAAGTTATTTTACCTACTTTTTTTTTCTGCCTATCTTTAGCTATCACTCGCCAACACCACTAGATTAGGATATAAAGAGGAGAAAGAAAGAAAAATGTTAATCAAAATTCTGATCTAATGATCTTTTAGAGTGGTAGGCAAAAATAGACAGAAACAAAAAAAAAATAGAATAACTTAGGGTTCGCTTTTTCTGCAGTTACTGCAGATTAGTTATCTGCAGTAAACCCAATACGACGTCATTTTGGGGCGGAAATCATGGTGTTTTTGCCATTTGAATTTATTTCAGGTTTATTATAGTCTTTATAATTATAATTTTCTAATCTTTCAATCCCAAAACGACGTCATTTTAAAAGTAAATGCAGATAACTTATCTGTATTTATGCATTTACTACAAAATTATTTTTCTGAATAACTTATCCCATAATAAATATACCATATTAAATTAGTGAAATATTTTTCTGAATAACTTATCCCTTAATAAATATACCATGTTAAATTAGTTTTTAAAGGATGCTTCCCGTCCATCCTTGGGTACGGCTGAGGTATGCAGAAAACGATGTAAATTTAACATCTGTAAACATGTGAATGTCAAACATTAAAAAATATTAAAATATCAAGGGATGTGTGTGTTACACACATAACAGCCACTGTTGAATGATACATTAACGTGGAATTGAACCATCAAATTTCTCACCTTTCGGCCGGCCGGCACGTATAGAACCATGGCTATCTCATATGCTAGTCCCTGACAAACTATTATATATATGCTTCACAACATTCATATTATCATCATTCCAATACCAAGCATTTATCCTTTTCAAATTTCTCAATATATTCCCTATTTTAGCAATGGCAAGCAACTCTCTCAGGTTTACTTTGGTGACCATTTTCATCTTTGCCATGGCTCTCTCTCCCACTTTACTATGTGATGCTGCACGCATTCCGTTATCAGGTATACACGTAAACATTGCAATTAGATATCATAAATTGAAACTTTCAAAGTGACATGGCCTTATGCATGGTTTGCAATGATAATGAACTCATGAACTCCATTTTGTTATGCAGCTAGGGTCCCCCCCATATGTATTGATAATTGTGAGTGTTGCGCTCCTCCACCTCCAGACTCTTGCTGCGATTGCTGTATTGGTCCCGTTAAAACTCAGGACCTTGGTCAATCTCCATGATCAGTAAAACATGGCCATATATAACACCATATATATATATATATATATATATATATATATATATATATAGAGTTATTGTGCCTATTATGTTATGTTTGAATAAAAGGAATATGTAGTCTTCTCACTGAAGCACTTGACAAATTCTCGAACTGAAAATGTCAAGAATTCCTTATGTTGGATTTCAATTTTCTATTGAATGTCTCTTTTACCTGGATAACACGGTGGACATTTTTCTTTTTTTTTTGAGAAAAAAAATGTGCTCAAATTTTATGTACTCATGCATGTTCGTGCAAGAATCATTATTTCTTGCTACCATTTTTGGGTCATCAAACGAGTGTGACTTTCTTCGGTTCTTGTGTAAGACTTCGGGTCTTAAAAAGTTATAGATTGGTGAAAATGCCGCATATCAAAGTAGGTTAACCCAAGTTGAATTGATTTTTTACATAGTATCATAGTTTCGATGTCATGATCCTCGTTATCCCATTTAATTAATAATTAATTAAGTCTTATGAAATTTTTTAGCACAGTTAAGTGAACCTGTGCATTGTCTACTTTTCAAGTTCAATGAACTCTCGTATAAAGGAAGGTGTTGGAGAAATATAAAATCATCTCGTGTGAGGGGCATGCTTTATACTAAGATAGTCTTACCCAATAACTTAAACTTTTGAGTTAAATTGATTCTTTACATATGCCCAATAAAAAATGGATTGTAAAAATGTAAGGCACCAAATATTGCCATAGCGAATCCACAGCCACCACCGGAAACATCCTGTGCAGCAGAGCTTCTTAGATCTTACCTGGCTAAACGGGTCGGATCTTTTGAAGGATGTCAAATCACCTCCCACTAATTATAATCCCAAAACTTAAGGAATGAATTTTTACTTAAACTCTTAATCCTCGACCAGCTACAAACAGAATTGACTACAGTGAATGATAATTGTGGTTTGTCCATTTCACTTAAAAGTAAAACATTGAGCAAACCAAATTGGCAAAATGGGTGAATCTCTTACAAAGGTTAGGACCAAAAAGCCTGCAGGATCAAAAACCCTGCAATAATAAAAGCTCATACTGGTTAACCATCCTATAGAGTAGGGTCAACCTGTGAGTCATTCAAAGTTATATATATATTTTTTAAAATATTTCTTTTATGGAATTTAATGCATTTAAAATTATTTTAATAAATAAATATTTAACACTTTCATAAAATATTTTAGGCTAAAATATAAATTACCCCCTTGAACTTTGACCATGTTTAAATTACCCCCTTGTACTTTTAATTGTTTCAATTAACCCCCTGTAATTTATAATTGTTTCAAATCAAGAATTCTGTTAAAAATTTTACAATCTCTGTTAAACCTCCTCACATGCCCTAAGCCCCAAATCTCAGAAATTTATTCTCTCTTTTCTTCTTCGTTCTTCCTTCTCTTATTACAATTTTCTTTGAATCTTTTCTCAATAGTTTGGGATGATTTCAATTTGGATCAGAGAAGATTAACATATAAGAATCTTCACAAAGTTTGGGATGAGATGATCTTGTTATTATTTATACACAAAGTTTCCAACGATGATCTTTTCTTCTCTCTTTTCTTTAGCTCTTGATTATTTATTCACAAAGTTTCCAGCGATGATTGTTATAATATCCCTCACCATGAAATTTAATTAATTGCATGTAATTAGGAAATTAATCTTGTATTAGTGGGTTAAATTAGGTAAAATGTCTAATTAAAGAAATTTGGGCCACTTTTGAGGTAAAAAATACATTAAGTGAAAATTATGGGGTAAAAATGTGTGTAGGCAAAAGTACCCAAAACATAAAAGTAAAGTTAAAAATATTACTATAAAAATATTATAGTCCATTGGGCTAAGTTTGGTGGTGAATGAAGTTGAATAAATAGATGAGCTTATACCCAGTTGAAATAACTAACCTATACTAAGTAGCAAAACACAAACCAAATCTCAAATTTTCTTCTTCTTCCTCGTGGGTGCAACAACGTCTGAGAGAGTGGGAGAAACATTGATGAGCATAAAACCTTACTTTCCCATTTATCATACAAATCAACTCATTCCAAAGCCAAAATCACTTCAAATCTTCTCCTCTTTCTTAACCCTAACTTAGTTTTGAGTGGAAACCATTGTGGGGTGAGATATTCTTCGTGGGAAGGGCGAAAATCTTGAAGTTGGTTATCCTTCATTGAACCCTTGTGGTGGTATTGCGGTAAGCATTTTCACCTTTGTTGGTGTTTTGAGGATATGCATATTTAGGGTTCCATTTATGAAAATGTGGTTTAAGATTGGGTTGTTTGAGTTTGATTGAGGTTTAGTTTCTTTACAAATATTGTTAGGAATGATAAATAAATGGAAGAAATGGACTTAGATTTTCATTTGGTTGTTGTGCAATATATTGGAAAATCCATGCTTGGGGTTTGTGATTTTTCTAGCATTTTGAGCCAATTGTAAATTGGATGGTTGATTGTGTCCCTTGTGGTGATAGGATTAAGCCTTGTGAACCAACATTGAAGGACCAACCATTGGAGGAAGTCATGGAGCTTGACTAGCTCATTGGGATTGGTAAGTTCATGCTTTATTTATGGTGTGAATTTGATTGTTGGTTGATGAATATTGATATATTCTGGGATTCAATAGATTGATTGCATTACACCTTGTGTAGGTGTTTGTTTGTGAGGTTGTTGATATTGTTGTAAAGCTGGGTTAATTGCTCATTGGGGGTGAACAAAGGTTGGACTTGAAGCAAATTGAGGTAAACCTTCGGACCTTGGGAATTGATCCCTTTATTGTTCCACCAAGCTCGGAACGGGTAGTGGTTGTTGATAGTGTATGTAAATGCAATAAAGTAGTTTAATGCTTTTTTATACGTATCTGTATGCACTGGGTGTGGCATAGGATGGTGTTTCCCTATGTTTGTACGTGCATGACGAAGCGTAATTCATACTTGGTAGTTTAGCTGGCCAGTAGGACTATTTTGCATCTGAGTATCCTTAGGACCACATGAGAGCTTGAGGGATGTCTCCTGCAGATGTTTGACACACTGCATGGATATGTATT